ACCTGTGGAACTGAAAATAACCCAGAGCTGGAAACATACGAAGGTGACCAATAGGAAAGCTGTGAGTTGGCTGCTGAATATACTTTTATTGTTTACTGACTAAGGCGGTTGATTAGCTAAGGTTCCACACCCTTTCCTTTTGCAGGGCTAACACTAATAAGTGATAGTATTAAATAACAGTGTGAAACTTTCATTAAGCATCAGGCGTTTCTAAAACTATGACATGGACGGTGTCCATGGTACCACGTGGTAGAAACGGAATCTCCATTTCACAGACGGGAAAACCAAGGCCTGAGAGACCAGACCAGCAGCTGCAGTCAACGCTAGGACAGCCTGGGAAGACCACTGAAGGGCCCGCCGCGGGGATTTTAACCGGGTTTCTCACTGGGACCTAATGAACACCTTCAACACAAACATTTGCTCCTGCAGTAGCTTCGCTTAACCCTGTCCCCTCAGGATCAGACACCAAAACGTACCGCCTGTTTCAATCGCATATGAAACCACTTCTCTCGCCAGCGGACACTGTCTTCTTATAGTCCAGTGACTGCTCATTTGTTACGACCCTATTCTCCCCAAGGCTTGACGTAACAGCAAGAGAATGCCGATCGCATGCCAGACCAGCGATGCCTCCCGCAGTCCCCCTCCAGCCCACGCATTCATTCAGCGGACACCGAGTGGCCCTGGGCCCCACACAGCCCTGGCTGCTGACCATCCAGATGACGCGCAGGCCCTGGCAGAGCCCAGCAGGTACCAGACAGGTAGACGGAAGATAGAGGACAGACACCATCATGTGGATGTGTTCTTGTGGCCGTTCCTCCCACTGACCATCTCTTAACTATCTCCCTGGTCAGGAAGTTAAGCTCTGAATTTCAGCTGGCCACACAGCCGCGCAGACGAAAGTCGACGTTACCAACCTCGCTTGGGTGATGTATGGCTCTTTGACGAATTCCCGCCAAAGGGCTTCGAGGGAAAGCGGTGTGAGTGGCGCCTGGCTGTGCTCTGAGGGAGGCAGTGTGCCTGGCTCCTTCCCTTTCCTGCGGACTGAAGTGAGAACCCCTGGACCAGGGCTGGAGCCCCATGGAGGCCCGAGGGGCCTACATTTCAAGGACAAAGGCGCGAGTTAGATGGTCACGTCCATCACACCAGCCCTAGATTGCTTCCCTCTGGACCAAGCTTGTGTGGGCAAGCAAACGTCCCTCCCATTTGACTTAAATCCGTTAAGTGGCCACTTGGGAGCGAAGCTGTTTTGTATGAGGTTGAAACGGGTGATGCGTGTGGGTGTCTGGCCAGAGGACTGACAGGGCAGGCGGCAGCTGGTGGTTTAAGCTTGCCTACTGCAGTCACTTCTAAGCGAATGTCTGCCTTGAAGGTATCGATTAGGTTCCGATGAGAAACCGTTTTGCCAAAGCCAACAAACAAGGTAGACAACCTACAGAGAACCATGAAGCAGAGACCGAGGGTGGTGCTGTGGCCTCCGGACAGGGGACTCAGGGAGGGCTCAGGATGCAGGTCGGAGTCCTGGTGCATGAGAGCCATGTGGGGGAAGCTCCAGCAAGTGGGAGGCACAAAAGCAGAAGCCCAGTTAAGGGGGCTCGCCATGCCCCAGGACCAGCCGGAGGCACAGGGCCACTTCCCACACCTCCCCATTCACTTCCCGCCACGGGAATCCTGACCCCCAGCGCAAAGATGGGCCCACGTGCGTGCTCACTCCTCGCAGGGTCTCTTCCAACAGCGCTAGCTGGTCAGGAGTCTCAGCGTCCACTCAGAGCCGCCTATGGCTCGGCATCTACCGTCCATGTCAGCATGCTCCCCACGTCTCCGTACGAACATTCCCCATTTCTCTCAGCCCAGCCAAGGGATGGTCTACTGGTCCACCCCATCACCTGCCTTCTTCATTTTTAAAATATTTTTTATTATTTCAGAGAGGAAGGGAGAGGGAGAGACAGAAACATCAACGATGAGAGAGAATCATGGATCGGCTGCCTTCTGCACGCTCCCCCACCGGGGATTGAGCCCACAACCCGGGCATGCGCTCTGATTGGGATAGAACCGTGACCTCCTGGGTCATAAGTCAATGCTCAACCACTGAGCCACACTGGCCGGTGCTTGCCTTCTACCTGACGTCCCATGGCTATGACCGCCCACACTTTCATCTCAATTGCTGACAACGGGCCATTCTGTTCTAACCCGTGAGTGCCTCACCATCGCAACTATGATGCAGCATGCGACCTTCATCATACAGCCTTCACCACCCCTTTCGCTACTGTCCCCTCCAACAGAAGGCGCCCCAGAGCCCTGCTGTGCGTCGCCTCCTGCACCGCCTCACCCCGAGCACAGCGCAGAGCCCTAATCTCCCGCTCCGCTCCCGCCAGGAAGCTCTGAGTGGCTGAGTGGCGAGCTATATATAGTGGCTGATGTCAGCGGATGCCAGGCCCTTCAGCAAGACGCAGTCCCCGGAGCCGAGCGAGGACCATGCCATCGTGGGCTCAGGGGTAGACCCTCAGCCCAGGAGCACCCCTACCCCGCCATCCGGGCCTCCCCTTCACCGGGCCGTCCTGCTGGGAAGCGCGGCCAAGGGCAAGGTGAGTGCACCGCCTGCTGTGTGTTCTCCCTCAGTTGTCACGGGCTCAGGACTGTGACTCACAAATGAGCCTTCTTCACCCTAAAGGACAGCTGTCAATGCCAATTTTAAACCGTCCTCAGAAGCATGCGGCCTGAGCTGCATCCTGTCCTCACTCTGCGGTCTGTTGCTGAGAGGGGCTGGGATGCTGGGGAGGGGGCAGCAGGGACACAGGGACAGAGAAACATGAGCCCGGAGAGCGGGAGGGGAGGGCAGCTCTGTCCCTATCCCCACCGCCTGGGGGTCCTTGTGCAGAGACAAGACCGAGCCCCGTGTCCCCTCTGTCCACTGTGACGCAGCCGTCCAGGCGACAGGCTGTGGTGCCGGCGGGGGAGGCGCAGGCAAAGCCTTCAGCGAGAGCAGGGGCAGTTTCTCCTGAGGGACAGAGACCCTCTCTAAAGGGACGATGACGTGACACCCCCAGGGAGCCCTCCGCTGCTGCAACACGTTTGTTTCCACAGGGAACAGGCGATGCTGTCGCACAGCTCCATGGTGAGGCAAAGGAAGCAGCAGGCCGCCGCCATCATGAAGGAAATCCACAGACACGGTACCCTGAGCCCCGTGTGGCATGGATATAGGAAGGGACACGGTGCCCTATGTCCTGTGTGGCATGGACATAGGAAGGGACACGGTGCCCCGAGCCCCGTGTGGTGTGGACATAGTGAGGGACACGGTACCCTATGTCCTGTGTGATATGGACATAGGAAGGGACACGGTGCCCTATGCCCCGTGTGGTGTGGACATAGTGAGGGACACGGTGCCCTGTGCCCGTGTGGCGTGGACATAGTGAGGGACACGGTGCCCTGAGCCCGTGTGGTGTGGACATAGGAAGGGACACAGTGCCCTATGTCCTGTGTGGCGTGGACATAGTGAGGGACACGGTACCCTGTGCCCCGTGTGACGTGGACATAGTGAGGGACACGGTGCCCTGAGCCCCGTGTGACGTGGACATAGTGAGGGACACAGTGCCCTATGTCCTGTGTGACATGGACATAGTGAGGGACACGGTGCCCTGCGCCCGTGTGGTGTGGACATAGTGAGGGACACGGTACCCTGTGCCCCGTGTGACGTGGACATAGTGAGGGACACGGTGCCCTGCGCCCGTGTGGTGTGGACATAGTGAGGGACACGGTACCCTGTGCCCCGTGTGACGTGGACATAGTGAGGGACACGGTACCCTGAGCCCCGTGTGGTGTGGACATAGTGAGGGACACGGTGCCCTGTGCCCGTGTGGCATGGACATAGTGAGGGACATGGTACCCAGAGCCCGTGTGGTGTGGACATAGTGAGGGACACGTTGCCCTGTGCCCGTGTGGCATGGACATAGTGAGGGACATGGTACCCAGAGCCCGTGTGGTGTGGACATAGTGAGGGACACGGTACCCTGAGCCCCGTGTGACGTGGACATAGTGAGGGACATGGTACCCTGAGTCCTGTGTGGCGTGGACATAGTGAGGGACACGGTGCCCTGTGCCCGTGTGGTGTGGACATAGGAACGGACACAGTGCCCTATGTCCTGTGTGGCGTGGACATAGTGAGGGACACAGTACCCTGAGCCCGTGTGGTGTGGACATAGTGAGGGACACGGTGCCCTGTGCCCGTGTGGTGTGGACATAGGAACGGACACAGTGCCCTATGTCCTGTGTGGCGTGGACATAGTGAGGGACACAGTACCCTGTGCCCGTGTGGTGTGGACATAGTGAGGGACACGGTACCCTGAGCCCGTGTGACGTGGACATAGTGAGGGACACGGTGCCCTATGTCCTGTGTGACGTGGATATAGTGAGGGACACAGTACCCTGTGCCCGTGTGGTGTGGACATAGTGAGGGACACGGTACCCTGAGCCCGTGTGACGTGGACATAGTGAGGGACACGGTGCCCTGAGCCCGTGTGGCGTGGACGTAGCTCAGCACTAAGGGGGACCCCCTGGCGTGTTCCCTACCCTGTGGCCGACTGTGCGCTCTCGGCGTGCCCGGGGCAGCGGCGCGGGCTGGAGCCGCCTTGGTCACTAAGCCTTTTGTAGTCCTCGTCTCATCTGGAAGCTATTTCCAGAGGAACAGCTGCTGGGCAGGAATGAGCCAGCTGACAGCTGATGTGCGGTCTGCGGGGCTGGCCCCTGAGCAGCACCAGCCTCCGCCTCTCCCTTCCTCCTGGGCCGGCCTCCCAGTTGTCTCATTGTTCATTCCCCCACCCTCCCCCTGGGAAACCTTGATTTACTCTCTGTGGGGCCCACAAATCATTCAAAATAGGCTCTATCTTCCCTTCTTTAAACAACAACAGAAGATGTGAAGTGGGAATTCACAGTCATTGTGAATCTCTTTAACCCTGAGCCCAGTCATCACCTTGAGTCATTAACTCGGGGAGGTGTTTTGTGTTGGAAATGTTTTATTCACGGTCCCTGGGAACAGGCAAAGCTCTAGTCATCTCAGAGCCTATGATTCAAAACCATTTGCAAGAGGAATGAGGGGCCAGGTGCTGTCCACTCTCTCCTTCCCGCAAGTCCCAGCAGGTGACTCCGGAGGCTGATTGTCTTAAAGAAACTGGCTTTGCTCCTGGGCGAAGGGGCGTGATGTTGAGGAGAGAGAGCCGGGTCCCTTCAGGGCTGATCTGGGCCATTCCCGACAGACATGTGGTTTCTGCCGGAGGCTCCGGGTTCCTGGACGGGAGCCTGACCTTCCCCCTGAATGACCCCGAGACCGGAGCCTGAGGTCTGAGGGCGGCGGGGCCGGGAACAGCGTGGTCACTCACCTTCCCTGAGGGAGCGCAGGGAGCCTGGGAGATGGTGTCCGATTCTCCGACGGCGCGGGCAGGAGCAGGTCCTGTGGTTGATCCTTTCCTGTTTCCTGGGAGACGCAATGGGCCCACGGCCCCAGCTTCGTGCCATGTCCCACGATGTCCAACCAGCTTGGGAGAAAGTGAGGAGGATTCGGACTTGGATTCCAGAACTGAAACCGCCCCGAAGTCCCCAGACACGCATACAGGCTTCCTTTGCTTGTTTCCTGCCTTGGGGAGTTTACACGACATGGCTTTTACCCGATCAATGCAGCAAAAATCCGATGGTCACTCGAGTTTGAGGCGAAATTGTTTACCTTAAAACTAGACCTGAGCTGCGTGATCATTTTCTCGTTGCATCATAGTCATATGTCAGTGGACCCATTTCATGAACTCAGTCTAAATCTTATGTGGACCCCACTCCGTCAGTCCAGACACAGACCTGCAAGGGTAAGAATGTGTTATTTTTATAGTGTAACTTTGGTGTTTATAAAATATTTAAAAAGTACAATTCTATCTTAAGGGGAGAAACCCTCAACAGTACCGTCTCAGCCCCAGGCCACGCGGGTCCCCGAAGCCCCCCTCCGGGTCATGGGGGAGTCCCACACCGTAGTGGAGTCACAGGCTCTGCCCTTGTTCGGCCCAGCTAGCAGGGACCCTCACCGTCTCGTCTCCCTGAGTCCCGCACGCAGAGCAGCTCTGTGCGTAGGAGCAGCGTCAGCCACCGCTCTGGCTCCCTCGGGCGTTGTCTCCGGGACCTGGAGATCAGGGGGTGTCATTGTTCAGGGAAGTGGCATTGAGGCCTGAACGGCAGAGGATCTGTTCTGGGCACGACCCTGCAGACTTCCAAGCACTGCACAGCAGCCCAGAACGGGTGACGCTAGACAAAGCATGCGACCATTTCCCTGCCAATGACAAGGCCAACCAGTCACACGGGACCGGCCCGTCCTTATAAAAACGAACAGGAGGGCGTCCTCGAAGCCCCCTTCCCTGTGCCTCAGCTCTTTTTGTAGAATTATCGTCACATATTTTTTACATCCCTTTGCACCAATCACGGAGCCTGCGGGAGAATGGAAGGTGATCACGGGGCGCTACACGAGCCCCTTCTAAGCAGGAGATGGCGGTTCGGTCCAGTTCTTGTTGTGGGGGAGACCCAGCAGGGGCGCCTCTGAGATCAGCAGTGGGAAAAGGTGAAAATAAAAAAACCAGAGGTCTACATCTGAGCCTTCACCCTCCTGAAGGAGAAATATCCTCAAAGAACTACTGAGGCGTGCTTTTCACATGGACCGAACCATGAGAAACCGGACAGACCCAAGTAAGAGGCCGCTACTAACCATACCCCCAACTGTGTCCTTGTGCGCCCCCTGTGCCTGGTGCCAAACCCATCTGGATGCCCAGTGGATAACTAACAAGGGTGTCCCTGCCCAGGTACACTGTGTCCTGGGGTCGCCGTCAGCATAGCAGCAGCGAGCCCACGGAGCAGCCGCCCGCGTTATGTTGACATACACAGTGTCAGAGCCACGTTGCTCCCGTCCAAGTGCGGCTCTGAGACACACAGAACCGCACAAGGGCCTGGCCAGCGTGTGCGCATGAGTTAGCTGTGGCCTGTTCTGCAGCGATCACCACCTTCCCCTGTCAGCACCTCTGCTGGGACTTGAAGACCGAGGACAGAGCGGGGGTGGGGGGGAGCAGAGGTTGCTGACAGAGAGAGAAGGGGGGACGGGATGGAGGGAGAGGCGCAGAGCACCCCTGGCTGCTGTTCGGAAGTAGCAGAGACTGGAAGTAAAACAGCCATGAGAGGTGGGGGCCCATGTCCCTGATCATAGGCACAGACGTTGCCGACAGCTTCAGAAGCAGGGGACTCACCACTGAGGCTGTTCTGCCGCCTCCGGTTCCCTCACCCGGGCTCTGCGAGGGCTTGTTTGTTGCTTTTTCTTTCCTCTTGGTATGTTTTTCGGTTTTGTTCTTCTCCCCTCACAACCTGTGAGCTGCTTTCTTAGCATGTGGAAGAGGACTGGGCGGACCACTGAGATTTCAGGAAAAGGGCTTGGTTTGTGCATGCGGGAGGCCTAGTCCACATGGGGTGCTGCGGTCAATAGGGTCCCAGGGGCCCTGGGGTCCAGACCACACATCAGAGTCCTCGCCCGAAAATGAGGAGGCTGGGCGTGCTGACACGTCGAATGCTTGGTTCCTGTCACTGTTTACGGAGCCGTGTGCCGAAGCAAACATCGTGTTTGGAGTTCCTCCACCAATAACCAAGGCGATGCCAATGTTGACACGGACTACAGGGCACTTTGAAACGCACGGAGCATAGCACCTGGAATTTCAGATGGAAGACTGTGTGAAGACCCTTTTCCTGTCTAAGCAGATCTTACACTGTAGTTGATCAAGTCATCATTATTAACACAAGCACAGCAGGAAGGCCTTCAAGGCCACAGATCAGAAAGTCCAGGGCAGAAAAATAACTTAGCCTAATGCCTGAGTGTACAAGTCTGTTAGTTTTCTTTGGTTTAACATTTCTCAGAACCCCCCAAAAAAGATGTTTTATTTTGAAAATCAGTGTAGTTTCTGGCAAGTGTTTAATTGAAGCCACAGGATTCCTTACCCAGTGTCTTTGTTGCCCTTGCTATGAACAGCAGCACTAAATGATTCTGCTTGTGGAATTCAATCTGTGTCATGTAATACCTTGGTAATATCATTTCTTCAATGTTTATAGCTTCACACAGCTATTAGGAGATAATATTTTTCTTAACATTTTTGAGAACTTTATTGCTTAGCACTCAAATCAAGGCAAAGAGATATAAAATAGGAAAATCAAAAAAGTTCCACGTGTATTTCAATATCAACTTTTTAGTATGGAGAAAATTATTAATAAACTTTTAATCAATTGTAGGCATTATGCAAAATCACAGTCTGTACTATTATCTATACTAATAAAAGGGTAATATGCTAATTAGGCCAGGTAGACCAGACATCTTCCAGCCGTCCTTCTGGACGTCCTTCTGGACAAAGCCATAGTGGTGGAGCTGAGCAGAGGTGGTTAGGGGCAATCAGGCAGGCAGGCAGAGGGGTTAGGGGTGATCAGGCCAGCAGGGGAGAGCAGTTAGAGGTGATCAGGCTGGCAGGGGAGCCATTGGGGGTGATCAAGCAGGCAGGCAGAAGTGGTTAAGCAGGTGAGCAGTTAGGAGCCAGCAGTCCGGAATTGCAAGAGGGATGTCCGACTGCCGGTTTAGGCCTGATGCAGGAGTGGGCCTAAACCAGCAGTCAGACATCCCCTGAGGGGTCCTGGATTGAAGAAAGTACAGGCCAGGCTCAGGGACCACCCCCCTCCCCATGCACGAATTTCATGCACTGGGCCTCTAACACACTGTACTGGGCAGCAATGTACATTTCATGGGGTCATATTCAATCCACATGGGCCACCCGCAGGCAGTCCTGTCGGGGGCAGAGGAAGTCTTGTGGCCTCAGTCAGGCTCCTCAGTGAGCCCCGGGCCCACCTGCAGCTGGGCATTCAGGTGGCTCCCCTCAGAGGTGTGCCCCCTCCACTGGAAGCGCAGCTGCCAGGCATCATGGGAAACGCCTGTAAAGTACCTTTCTCTCTTACTCCCATTATTTGTAAGTGGGTACCTTTACAAAGTGTGAATGGATTCACCTACTGATCTTAAATTTGTCACTTTGGCAGGATCACAATTTCAAACTTAAAACACAGCACTTCTTGGGCACACATAAATCGCTGTTAACTTAATTTCAGAATATTAATCTATAAAACTAATATGAAAAAGAAAAGAATGTTTCCTTTTGGAGGAATTTAAGCCTGGTGTCTACACATTGAAGTAAGGTTTGAAAAAGGAGCTGATCACATTTTCACTGATGACTCCTATTCTCCCAATAAAACATGATTTTCCTTTTGGTTCCCAGCATTCAGAGCAATGTGGCTCCACAGTATCAAATGTTTATGTAAGATTTTAAATCATAACTACAAGAAGATTGTACATTTGAGGACATTACTGAGAATTGGTCACAATTATTTAGTATTTCTAGTAGATTAAAAATTGTGGACTTTTTGGTGGAAATTGATTTGATTATGGTCAAGACCCTAAAGTTATATGTTGCTATCTATCCTTTCACAATTACATAGTTATTCAAAGATAATCCCTGATTTGCTTGAAAGAACAATAAACTATAATAGATGAAGTCCCATCAAATGATTAAAGAATAAACAAAGAATTCTGCATCAGTGCCAATGACATCAGTAGGAAAGTACGCCCAGCGATATTATTTTCATTGGATGACCTAATGCCACAGAGACAACCTACTAATCCATCGGGTCAAGGATGTGTACCCTGACTGCGTTGTATCATTTACCAGGCATCCAGCTCACACAGGCGGCTAAGACCCTGCAGGGGTTTGTGGCAAAGGGCAGGGAACAGCTGAAGTGGATGCCCTGTGTCCAGTTGGCAGCCTTGTTCAGGCTGAGCGTTTAGGCCAGCCGTGGGCAAACTACGGCCCGCGGGCCGGATCCGGCCTGTTTGAAATGAATAAAACTATTGAAATAAAAGACCGTACCTTTTTATGTAATGATGTTTACTTGGAATTTATATTAGTTCACACAAACACTCCATCCATGCTTTTGTTCCGGCCTCTGGTCCAGTTTAAGAACCCATTGTGGCCCTTGAGTCAAAAAGTTTGCCCACCCCTGGTTTAGGCAGTGAGAGTCCATACATTCGACTCTCCCCTTGCAGGCAGTCTGGGCCCTGATGGACACATCAGAGATTTAAGTATTGGAAGGGAAGGGAGGGGAGGAAAACCTTGGAGAACTTACTTTATATCCTTTGTTGTTCGTGTATGCAAAGTACATTGCCTGTGTTTAGGAGTATGCTAGGAACTACTTCACCACTGGTTCTTTTTTTTTTGGCGGGTGTGTGTGTGTGGGGGGGGGGGGAGGATGCCTTTGGTATAATTACTCCCTCCACGGCCCATTTCAGTACAATCAGGGTCACTGCAGGCCGACCTGGGAAGAGATGTGCAGTAACAGGACATGGTACAGTTTCCACCTAACGGATACAGGAGTTATAAGTACCCTCAAGGGCACAGTAACAGCAAAAAGTAGTAGAAGATGTAGAAAGAGATCCTTCTGAGTCTTTATAGCTTTGTTTTTAATTTAGTTTTTCTAGTGATCAACTTTATGTAACTTAATTGTAACAACAGCTGTGCTCACGGAGTTTCTCTGCTGGCTCGCGCGTTCCTGAGAGCTGAGCTCCGGTGAGCGTGCGCCTTCGCCCACTGGCCCCTTTCACGCAGCCGCACACATCAGTCATCCGTGTCTTTTCGTGGCTGGATGGCTCTTCATTAAACTTTTATTTTGAGGTAACTGTAGTTTCACATGCAAACGTGAGAAATAACTCAGAGCTGCCCCGTGGACCTTCCCCAGCACTCCCCCCAACCCCCGCAATGATAACGTCTCGTAAAGGAGAGTCCTACACCACAGGCAAACCTGACCCTGAGGTGGTTAAGACTCCTTCCTGCCCACCACTCCTCGGCTCCGCTCACCGTGTGTGCGTGTGTGTGTGTGTGTGTGTGTGTGTGTGCATTCTTTTCTTTTTCTCCCCTCCCCTCCCTTCCTTCCCCTTTCTTTCCCTTCCCTATAATGCGATGTGAGTGGGATCACACAGCAGAGGCCTCTGGGCTGGCCTTTTTCACTCCATGCAACTCTCTGGCCATATACCCAGGTGTCGCATGTCCCAACAGCTTGTCCCTTTTTATTGCTGCCTGTCACGGTACGGATGGCCCAGTGTTTTTAGCCATTTACCTATTGAAGTACATCTAGGTTCTTCCTGTTTCTGTTTTGTTTTGTTTTTATTAAGAGTAAAGCCGGTGTGACCATTTGCACACAGGTTTCTGTGTAAACAGGAGTGTCAGTTCACTGGGGTGACTGCCCCGAACGCTGGCCGTTCTGTGTTGGGCTTTGAACAGAACCCACACCGTTACTTTCCAAAGTGGCTGCACCATTATCCGTCCTGGCAGCGGATCGCGAGGGACGAGTTTCCCGGTGTGCCCGGCGCCCTCCCAGCACGAGGTGCGGCTCTAGTCCCCACTCCAGCTCTCGGAGGCCTGTGCGGTGACGTCTCCCTGCGTTTTAACTGTAACGTGAACAAGGCCTTTGACGAGCTGTTCACGTGCTATGGCACCTGCCTGTCTCTTCCGGGGAGATGTCTTCCTTTCTCTTGCCTGCGCTCTCATTACTCTAATTCAGTGGTTCTCAACCTTCTGGCCCTTTAAATACAGCTCCTCATGTTGTGACCCAACCATAAGATTATTTTCGTTGCTACTTCATAACTGTCATGCTGCTACTGTGATGAATCGTCATGTAAATATCTGATATGCAAGATGGTCTTAGGCGACCACCAAAGGGGTCGCAACCCACAGGTTGAGAACCACTACTCTAATTGGATGGTTTGCCTTTTTACTGTGAGTTCTGAGATTCTTCACTCTATTCTACCTACTGTCCAACACACAGACAGCGTGTGTTCTGCAAATATTGTTTCCTACATTGTAGCTTGCTTCTTTTTCATCCTTTAACAGAATCCTTCTCAGAATAAAAGTTTATAATTTTGATAAAGTCCCATTTCTCAGAGTCTTTTCTCTGGTGGACTATGCTTTTGCTGTCAGCTCTAACGACACTCTGCTCAGCCCTAGAGCCCAAAGGCACGGTCATGTGGCTTTCCTATTGCGGCTGTACAGTCGATGGTGGAAGGTAGGGATTGATATCTGACTACGGAACCAGTCTCGCATCCGTGGAATAACCCCACTGGCTCGTGTGGAATTATGTCCACATGTTGCTGAGTTCCACTTGCTAACACTTTGCGAAGGACCTTTGCTTCTGTTGGCGTGAGGGACATTGGTCTGTGGCTTTCGGTGTGTCCTCCTTGTTGGGTTTGAGTGTCAGGGTCGTGTTAGCTTAACAACGAATTGGGAAGTGTTCCCTCTCCTTCCGCTTTCAGGCAGAGAATTCTCCAGTGAAGCCTTTTAGCTCTGAAAGCCTTGGGGTTGGGACCTAGGGGCTGGGGCCTTGGGGCTGGGGCCTCGGGGCTGGGGCCTTGGGGTTGGGGCCTTGGGGTTGGGACCTTGGGGTTGGGACCTTGGGGCTGGGTGCCCTGGGGGTGCGGCCTTGGGCTGGGGCCAGTGACTTGGGACTGGGGCCTTGGGGCTGGTGACTTGGGGATGGGGCCTTGGTGCTGGTGACTTGGGGCTGGGGCCTTGGGGCTGGTGACTTGGGGCTGGGGCATTGGTGCTAGTGACTTGGGGCTGGAGTCTTGG